TATTACACCAAACTATTCTAATAGCTACTGTTGCAGAACTCGGTGCTTCAGGAACATGCGTTTATTTGGCAAAGTCAACTCAGCAAAAATTGCAGCATGTTTGGCAAGCCAAACTCTTCGATAGAAGTTGCACCTTCACACCCATAACTAACGATCCTTTTAAATCGATGAGGTCCCTCCTTCGAATGTATTAAACAAACGGCGAATAACACATGAAAGTCGGCCAATCCGTGTCCAGTAATCGAATCCATCACGGCTCGCTTGCTTGGTCCACCCATTCACTCTGATCTGACACCCGTATCACATACTCTCCTTTTTCGGGTCCTTGCGCCTCCACATTGCTATGCACGCTGTACACCTTGCCACTCCGCGTCGTCTTCGCTGTATCTGCGGCCGTGGTCTCGTTGCCCCACGCCATAGGGCGCTCCATTCCCAATCCACATTGTTGTCTCCGTTGTCGTCACAACTACACTTGCTTCCATCCAAACGTTTTCCCTTTCACATTTATTTCGTATGACCTGATACCGACCTTCGAAGTCACACCTTACTTCTACCGCGTTTGATTATCAGATGTTGGTTGAACCCACACTTCCCCCTGTTAGCTCAGGTACTGGTAGTACCGTGTTCGTTGTGCCGTTTCTGGGTGGTCATTCATTTTCTCAGATTATTCTGTAATCGCCACAGCTTTGAGGCGAAACCGGGCGCAAGTGTGGCAGACACCGGCATCGAAGTTCTAGCTGTACAGGCGCTGCACTAGACTCAAGCCGATATCCGGTGAAGTAGTGTTGCGATTCTCCAGTAACATGAGGTATGGGTTTTCGCCAGTAGCTGCAGCCTTTGATGACGGTCGCTTGACCTGCTTCACTGTCGATTCCGCCTTTGCATCTATTTGACGGTGATATGGGCTGGTTTGCAGATGCACTAGGTTTCCATTAGGTTGTGTAAACCTGCAGCGCAGCGCTGTTAAACTGGGACCATTGTCGAAGACCAACTCCTCCGGTATACCGTGTCGCGCGAATTTACTTCCGAGCTTGTCGATTACCGCTTCTGTGGTCGTAGTGGTAAGTAAATCAATTCAAAACAATTCTATAGTAATGCACCATGAGTGAGTAATTATTACCGTTGTCACCGAATAAATCTACCGCCACCCATGCCACGGTCAATCAGTGAGATCATGCATATTGGTTCCTTCGTCCACGGGATTCTGTGGGAACGGCACGCCTCACAATTCGACACAGGTTCTTTGATTTGACCCATCATTCCTGGTCAAAACATCAATTCTCTTGCTCGGTTAAGAGTATAGTTGGCACCCAGGTGAGCGCGATGAGCGTATTTCAGCATTTCGTCTCGGAGCGATGACGAGACCAGAATAAGGCTTCCTTTGAACAGCAAGCCATCGTATAGAGAAAGTTCATTCCGAAACTTGAAGTACGTGTTAGTTCCCTCGGCGACCGCTTCTTTGACTCTGGCCACCCATTTAGAATAAGGTCTCGCAAAGCTATAAAGGTTGCATCTTGCTGTGGTGCGCCCGCTTTCTTTTAGACGACCATCCGTGACTGCCAGATGCTGTACTAGGTTTACTGCTTAGACCTCTTCTGGATTATGTTCCGCTACCAGCAGATGAGCTCTTGACAGTGTACCCACGATGAGCATCCTTGCACGAGGCGTGTACACAATATCCACGTCGCACTTTTGAAGCCGGAGAAGCATACGCTGAATACGACGAGGAACGATGTGCAGCGGTTTACTGGCTATTGCACAAGCGGTTTGTGGTCGGTTCACACAGTTATCTTTCTTCCGAAAATACAATAGTTGAAACGCTCCACGGCATATACTACCGCGAGCATCTCCCTCACAAAATGCGCATAGCGTCTCTCTGTCACGGTGTGCTCCACTGCGGAAATCCAAAAGTTTTCCGTTCCGTCCTGGCTACTATCACACTGTACCTCCAGAGACTGCGCTAGATCGCAATACCCGAGTACAGGCGCGTTGCTGATGAGTTGCGAACGCGATTTCCTGTTCCCTTCCCCAACTTCACTTTACTACTTTGTGAGTTTGCTCTCTGATGGGCATCATTATACCAGTGAATTTTGGCATAAAACGGCTCAAGTAATTCACCATGGCATTTAAACGATGGATTCAATTCACGGCTTTAGGGAGCGGCATTTATCGAATTTTTTCTGGGTCGACGCTGATCCCTTAAGTTGTTAGCAAAAGCCCATGAAAAATCACCTCGTCTTTCTCGAGGTCAAGTTTATCGTTTAATCATAATGTTCTTTTCCGCACAACCACGTAGCAAACGGTGGAGAATACCGTCGTGCCCTTCTTCTGTCGAGACATAGATCAAAAGATTGTCTGCCACATTTGTTACACCATTTAAATTGTCTACCGCTTGCACCAATCGCTTTTGAAAAGTTTTACTCGAAACCTTCAAACCAAACGGTAAACGCAGTCAACGATAACGACCGAACGGTGAGAAAGTTAGTAAGGAAGCTGGTTTCTTTATCCAGAACCACGTGTCAAAGTGCGGAAGACAGGTCTACATTTGTGAAACGCTTAGTTTTGGCCAACCGCGGCGAAATGTTTTCTAGGGTAGTTAGCGCATAATGCTCTCTACGTAAGGCCTCATTCAACGGTTTCGGATCAATACACGCGCACCGCCTGCTCGTTTTCTTCGTAATGATTGCGACCTGACTAATAAAGTTGGCAATCATACCATTCCATAATAATTTTCTCAATTCAGAAGAGACCTTGTTGCGCAGCGTAAATTGAACTCTCCTAGCCGGTCGTATCACAAGATCTAACGACAAGGGAACAGTCTCCTCAGATTTTCCAAAAGCAGGTCTAAACACAGACGGATACTGACCACTAATATCAGTTTCTCCCCGGCAAGCATGCAAGACACTCATGGTTAAAAATAACAAAACCGATATACTGAATCGATTCAATGCAAAAAATCAGCGTGAGCTCCTCCTCTTCCACAGTCATCAATCGATATGAGGTTCCGTCTTTTGGGTTAACCACTTCGGTTGTAGCTGAGACTTTCGGATGAAATCTGGAGTCATTCCAAATGGTGAATAACTCACACGAATGTCGGCCAATCCATGTCCAGTAATTGAATCCGTCACGGCTATCTCGCTCGATCGGTTGGTTCATCCGTTCACTTTTACCTGAACCTTCCAACATATCTAAGACAGAAAAATTACTTGTCTAGTTGCTTCCTTTTTTATTCTTCCTTACAATCACTGCTACTGGATATTCAGGTTATAGGTGACTGATGGAAATAAATTTGTAACACCATTGGTGTCGGAAGGGGATTTCGCCGGTTAGAGAATTCGTGGGCACAATGACGCCGTCCGACGATATGTGAACGAGAGCTGGGGATCTTGCAAGGCTTTTGGTTATCGTTGCTTGCGGAGTATCGCATGTCCACAAGGATGTGTGCAGACAAGTATCACGCTGCGACAAGTAGCTTAGTCATTTATTTGTGCTGTCTTGGATACCTGAGATGTATGCGCTGTTTACCCGGGCGAGGCACAGCATGTGCCCACCGTGCTCATCCCCACATTACGCGGTGCCGTTCGAAGACCAGTGCAAGAGGCTAGGACTTTGCACCATCTTATCGTTCAGTGCGGATTAACCACATCTACATGCACCGGACACTACATATTGCTGATTACATGTTGAAGCCACTGCTCCATAAGCACACCGGTACAAGCTTGTAGTACCGGATTTGAAGATGGGCTGTCATTAAATCTGCTTCGAACGGAATGTGGTGAATATATGGAACAACCTACCGCCCACATAGTTGAAGCAAAAACGGTGTCAGAATTTAGAAATTCACTGACAAACACGCTTCGCTGCCGTGTAATGAGCAACAGTTGCGTCTAGGCTAAGGATACTGCGAGATTCGCCAGATCCTCCACGCAGGTTCGAAAAAGCGCCCCCGGATTAAAAGGCAGGTTTGTGATCTTTTAGGCTACGAGCCGGCAGATGCAGCCACACATAGATATTTCTTCTTGATGCTTCCATCCAGTAAGCAGTTGAATGATACAAGATTTAAGAGTGGTGGGAACTAAAGACTGACGACAAAACTTGGCCTTCTTGGCTCATAATAACTATCAGACTAGACCCTAAGCGATCCACCAAGTGCATGACAAGACACTACAAGAAGTATGACCGGAAGCTGGCAGCAGTTGCACGAATGCTATCGTATCGTAACCCGTTTAATGTGTGTGATGCTGATTTAACTGCAAGCTAAGCCTAACTACGTTTTAGAAAAGTGGAAGCAGCCACAAGGAAGAAGCGCCATGATGCACGACAGACAGACATGCTTGTGACTATGTGTTGTTGAGAAGATACATGGGGCTCAGGGTAATAAGTTTTCACCCTCTTACCGTTCTTCATTCTCTGCGTCGTTATGGTTGTGCGGCAGTGGAGCTTAAGTCCACAATACTGATGCACTGCTGTTCATGGACAATGGACCTCACTGATTGGGACGCATGGATCAGTGTCCGTGCAGATGTGTATACGGCGAGCTAGGATGGGTGTATCAATTAGGTTTTTGCGTGTTGTGCTAGCAAAGTTTAGAAACACGAACTGCTAGGACAGACCTGTCAATCGGACGTCTCAGTGTATTTGGTATACCGGGAAAACGCAGTCTTGCGAGTTTCTAGATTGACCAGAAGATGCCAATTCAAAGAAGCGGAAACGATCGGATGGAGCCGCTTTACTGTGTGCTATGTCCAAAATGTGGAAGAACGAAAGAGATCATGTTCATTATTAGAAACTGCAGTAAATACAACAGAAACAATGCGTAAAGGGCGCTTTCGTCTTCATTCTATTGCTTCAAACGGCGGACTTCTCGGCCATCGCCTTTTACTCTTTCTGACCCGTTACATTACCATAGGTTTATATTTCTTCGAATCGATTCACATCGATTCCGTGCCTCAATCAGAGTTGTTCCGCTGAGTTATGTGGTAAAACCAAAATCCATCGATCCGAAGGCAACCGATGCACAGGAGACAAAAAAAACCGAGGTGACTCAAGAATGGTCTGTATTATCGTGGAAGTACTGGACACAGGGCAAAGTGTGTAAATGTGCAGCGGACCTTATGAATACCAAAGAAAGTACTAAAGGTGATATGACAGAAATGAACGATGAAGCGTGCAAAGTTAGGAGGGTAGGTTAGACCTGATGGGACAGATCAGTTTGGTACAGGTGTGGCTACATAATACTAGGGTGTAGAAGCAGCGCGCAGATAAAGCAGTGGCCAGACAAAATTACAATCGAGAAAAAGGAAAGAACGATGCGAAATAAGACCATAATAATGCGAGGTAAATGCACAGGATGTGTATATACATACACACTGGAGAGCCTTCGCACTTTGTGTCTAGACAGAAGTTCGTCTTCGGAACAAAACCTATGGAGAGTGAAAGGGTAGGAAACAGAGATGACGAAACTCGAAACATGATTGGCCTACAAAGCAAGGAAAGAGTATGGCTAACAGGGCTACTTCAGGCTGCTTTGGCTTTAACCATGGCCATGAGGTCATCAGTCCTTAATGATTTTGGGCGTTCGAGAGGTAATCCGAGTGCGCGATCCCACAGCAGCGAGGACAGTACTCCCTGAGCTCGAGAAACGCCAAAAACGACGGTGTAGTATTGCATTTGAGTCATACCATAGTGCTGGGAGTTAAGGGAAGAAAGGGAGATTGGTTTGGGTTAAGATATATAAGGGAATGGTATGATCATAAAGACAAAACACCATCGATGTGATATGTGTGAACACAATGCAACGCACCTGCAACAATACGCCTGAGTGTGCATCAACATTCGGCCAGGGGTTGGCTATCTTGCCTAGATCTTTCAAAATCGGAGGCACAATAGTGTAGAGCTGGCTAACGATCTTGAAGAGTGCATCATCAGGGAAGTGTTTCTGGGCGAACTCACGCGCACAGGTATATCGGGGATCGGTCTTGCGTAACACAGCGTGGCCAAATCCTGGGATCACCTGCGAGGGCAAAAAGAAAGGAGTGAAAGAGTTGTCTGACGGTAGGCCGGTGGCCCAAAGGTTCGAAAAGCATAGGTGCGAACGAGTTTGCCGTGTCCCTACCCAGCAGATAGGTCATCACTGTGGAACTGTCTGCTACGGAACAGCATTCCCGATAAGTTTGTCATACTTTTGAAAGAGCTGTATAGTCACACCTCTGGCAAAGTTAGAGCTTATGGAAGGCTTTCTTTTTCGTTTCTTGTTATCAGTGGAGTGCGCCAAAGCTGTCCTATCTCACCGTTTCTTTACAACTTTGCCATCGATGTCCTACATTGCGCACAGGAAGGAGTCCAGAACTGCGGCGTTGAGCTTCTACATGGGAGTAGAGTCGTAGGCCTGGACTATGTTGATGACATCGCTTTGCTGGCGCACGACTCGCAGGTTGTTCAAAACATTCTGAACCGTCTAACGATAGAGGCACCAAAGTATGGTCTGTATTCTACTCCATCCAAGTGTAAAGCTTTGCTCCAGGATTGGCAGGCTCCTCTGCCTACGCTCACCATTTCGGATGTCTACCTGGAGCTCGTTAACAGCTTCATTTATCTCAGGAGTTGCATTACGGCTGATGGCGGTATTGGCGATGAGACTTCACAACGAATTGCCAAAGCTCGTCTTGCATTTACTAACCTGAGACACTTGTGGCGTCGTCGCGATGTCAGTCTCAAGCTCAAAGGCCGAGTATACAATGCCACAGTTCGTGCTGTCTTACTGTACTGCTGCGAGACCTGGCCTGTTCGATCGGAAGATTTGAGACGACTGTCTACTTTCGACAACCGCTGCTTACGTTCGATTGCTCGCGTATGGTGGCAGCACCATGTGAGTAACGCAGAAGTTAAAAGCAGAATCATGGGAGCGGTCAGTCCTGGTCTCCAGAGCATGATCATCCAGCAGCAATAGTGTCGGCTCGGTCAAGTACGGCGCATGCCGCCCCACCGTCGTCCACGTCGCGCATTATTTGCACTTCCTGGATGCGAATGGAAAAAGAGCCGCGGCGGACAACCGATGACCTGGAAAAGGAGTATGATGATCCTAACTTCGTGGCTAGCGTCAGTTGGATCTGTGCGTCTTCCAGGCTGGGGACCACGTGAAGCGGATTCCCAATGGTTGGAAGTTTTGGAGGATATGGCCCGCAATAGGAGTCAATGGCGTCAATGCTGTTCGACCACGTCTACATCCTGTACTTTTTAATGCTGAACAAAACATAAAAACTAAAAATGGCGCGTGAAACTGAAAAAAGTTTTTCCTAACGTTTTACTCTCTCTCTCTCTTTTCGTTGAACATTATATGGTTCGGATGGCACATTTGTCTGTTCAGACTTGTGAATAAATATATAATATATAGCCAGTGCAGACTGGTTTGGTGGTGGTGGTGGTAAGGTTGCAGCGAAGCATTGGTGCGGTGCACCGGTGAATTGTGGATGTCATTTTTATGACAGAAAATCAAAAAATTCTAAATGGAAGCAGCAAAAAGTACAGTATATGAATAAAATTGAGTGTAGAGTAACAAAAGCAAATTAGCGAGGCATGACAGCAGCCCGGTTAACAGACGTCGCCGTGACGTGGGGACAGGTCAGAAGAATAGACGTTGCCGAGAACAAAAGTGAACCGTGAATCGCCAAGGTCATCGAGTTCCAGTCAACCTAAGTAAGCAATGTAACAAATCATCCTCCTCCTCATCATCATCAACAGCAGTAGATTAGCCACTTGATCGCGTGTTTCGCTGCCATACAAGCATGATGATCTATGGAACGAAGAATGATAAGAGAGGGAAAAGATGGACTTACCTGAAAATCGTAATGCTTTGATCGAACATTCAGGGTCAAAGCGCCTAAACCTTGTGTTGACAACATACGGTCACAAACAGCTACCGTGCAAAGATAAAGGGGATTCGGCGAGACAGCTTTCTTGCGGCTTTTATGGCCTCGCGTCATATTCAGCCGTTACTCCGCAGATAACTCAGCAACAAACACACTTCAAACAGACATTCCGACTAAAAGACGACAGGATACGCGCATTGGTATCGACTGTGAGCCATGTCTTGTAAAGTCTCGAGTCAAGCATAAGGCAAGTCATGTGGGCTCCAGCGTGGAAGGCGAGATGGATTAACGGCACCCATTATGGTCGTCTATTAAAGTCGACATGTGCGGAAGTGCGCTAGCCTGCGAACGCAATAATGGCTCGTAGCCGAATGATGCAACGATGTCTGTTGTAGTGGAACAAACCCATGTGCGTAATGATGGCTTTATCGCCCTGGCGGATTCATGCAGCTCTACTTGGGAGTAAGGGTGGCTTAAAGTAAGTTTGGAAAACTGCTGGGCACATGACAGAGTTGCGCATAGGTCATCTATCCGCGGAACAGGGCAGTGTGCTGACGTCGCCGCTTGGTTAACAGATAATTCGTAGTCACCACAGATACGGAAGGTGCCACCGGGTTTTTGTACTGAAACAATTGGCGTGGCCCAAGATGAGTGGTGTACTGGTGATAATATTTCATCATTTTGGAGGTTCCAGCTCTAACTCAACTTTCGGACGGATAGCGAAAGATAAGCTTCTTGCTTTGAGAAATTTCAGCTGGGCGTTCGATCTGATATTGAAGGACTTTAAAATCACCTAGTTTACCGGGCGATATGTTATCAAACACACAAGCGTACATTTTCCACAATGAATGAATGTCTAAAATATGGACCACGTTTTTGACGGTTTGAAGTAGTTCCGGCACATGTTTGAGCCAGTTTCTAGCTCGTAAGTTCAGTCCATCTGTGTTAACAATTAAACAAATAAATAAATAAATGCTTTATTCCCGGCAATGCGGATCACGCCTGTGAGGGCATGATCATGATATGGTTGGCAGTTGTATAAAAATATAGCAAGTTAAGCAGTAACATGCTGGATTTGTGTGTTTGTATATATGTAAGAATAGTATTAGTGAGCATGGTGAGTGAATTTTTGAAGTATGACTGAATTAGTGAGTTTGTTTGCTGTGTTCGTCACCGTATGAAGGGATCAAAGGTACCCTTCCAATTAGATGAAGTTCATGGAGTGAGGATCCTCCGGAAGGGGAAGCATTGACTTTATTTAGTGGCGAGTCACATCCGCAACGTCGCAGCGTCGTTAAACGGAAGGGATAAAAGTGTCGACTCCACGAGTAACCTTTGCTTCACACGTCCCCAGTACATTGAGCGATTCACCAGTATAGGAAAGTAAAACACACTGCATCAGGAACAGGTGTAGGTCGATCAGTGTAAGATTGTTGACAAAGGCCCACGTATCGATTTCTAGGCGCACAGGTTGACCTTCAATCTCCAATTCCACAGCATATGGAGGTATACCGCGCACATGTGACGCCACCGGAATGCTCTACAATGCGTACAGTATTCAGTAGAGGGTAAGATACATGAAGTACAAACACCGTTGAGTGGCAAATATGCGCAAGAGGTCCGACTTTACCGCACTTGTGGCAAGTGGATTGTTTGTCTACAATCAGTTACTCTTTCAAGTCTTTCGTCACACCTGTTTGTTGTTCGGTGACAATCGAGGTTTGACCGCGTGGATTACATCTAGGGTGATCATGTTGGTAGTGAATTGATTGTGGAACCACATTTGCTCTCTCCATCATTAATGTGCATGTGACTTACCAAGGAAGTTTACCCCTGTCTTCCGACAATAGACGTTCTTGCGCCTTGTTGTTGCGAGTGCCAACTAGAAGATACTCGATAGCCATGACCTCTTCAAATTTCGTGGGCAGAATCTCATGATAAGGGCAATCAGGTAGGGACTGTTGTGTGCGGATTATAAATTCGTTGACACCTTCTTCGTCTCACCGCCGTAGTTGGGAAAAATTTAGCCGTGCAGTAAACACATGTTGCTGTAAGCCCCAAATACCGTGCAGAGATTTCAAACAATGTGACAAGGCATTGAAATGCCTCTGAACCTCCGCACCCAAGTGTTGTCTCCGTAATTTGACAGATAACAAATAATAAGGTGTGAGCACTACGCCATAACTGCGCTTCGCTGCCATGCGACTACCACCAGTCGCGCGCGCGCTGAGTATATCACCGCAAGGACGCCCACCTCTACGCGGATTCGAACCGGTGACCTTTATGGTTGCAAACTAGACGCGCAAACCACTCGGTCACCGGCCGACAGTTTAACATATTGTTGCTCAGTAATAGTGATGTGAGGATTCGTAACTCTAAAGAGTTCAAGGTAGTCAAAGAATGCTCTCTTCCACCGAGTTCAAAATGCAAGTGATGGCTTGGAAGTCGCTTCCTTCCAAAACGGATCCGCTGGAATAAGTTGACTCATAACGAATAGCTCCAGACATAGAATCCGTCGCCAAGGTTAAAGTCTACACCGGCGGAAGTACGCTAGCCTGCGAACGCAATAATGGCTCGTAGCCGAACGACGCAAAGACAACAGAACACGACCAGCTGGCAGCACGCGAAGGTGCATTTTGGCCAGAACGGGTAGAGAGCATCGATCAAGTAACGGAAATTAAGCCCTCTTGTGAGTGGGTAATCGATGGACAGAGAGACGCACACGGTTGATGCTGATGTGAACAGGGATTGGAGATAATGACACATACGCCACATCGCCATTTCCCGCTGCCAAGTCAATCTTTGTCCACCCTGAGCCTCGAGCCGATCTACATCTGGCAGACTAAACTAGAAACTAACACGCAAGCGGTGGCCGGGCATACCTACTACGTGCCCAAGCCAACGCAACTTATTCAGTGCTAGCAAGGTGATCACTGCCTAGTAGTTGCCTACGCATATCATCGATGCGGACATGATGGTGTCGCCTGACACCAGCGATGCTTCGCAGGCAGTAATGATTAAAGACTCGAAGGCGCCTCAGAACGAAGGGGCCAAGTCTCACTCCCATCGAGTAGGAAGGCCCTCACTGTGGCTTTGTAAATACGGCTTTTCTGTCGCCAAAAATTCCAAAGATGCAAAAATGCAGTCCTGGATTTTGCAACATATGTACTGACAACAGTAGCTATGTACTCATCGTTGCCTATGCAGATGCCAAGGTATGTGAATCGATCAACTACCTCGAGTTGCCCGCTATCTAGAGTCCAGGGATCGTCAGGTGACTGGTGGTCCTGCAGCAGCATTTTGTACTTTGAAGGTGCAAAGCGTATACCAAATAATAAGGCCACTCTAGAGAGGCTATTCAGGGTTGATTTGGCGCGCCAAGATAGTTCAAAGACGAGACGACATCGTCTGCATAATCAAGAGCAACTAACTTTTCACCAGCCAACACCTCAACGCCAGCATCGTGAGGCACCGTAAGATAACACTCCATGGTGGAGTCCACGAGGAAACCGTACAAAAATAAGGAAATCGGACAATCCTGATGAACGCCACTTGTTGTCGGAAAACTACCCGACAGGTCACCGCAAAATGTTCACATATTGCGTCGGAACACTTTTTCGCGCAAGTATTTCGAACAGAATACATCGATCGACTGGATCAAACGGACTCTTGAAGTCGAGCAAGCCAGTCATGATCGGTTTGCGGCACATGTGGCGCTGCTCTAGCACCTGCGGAAAGCTGCTTTCTCTTCCGTAATCCGTGATTCCTGTTCCGCAGTGAGGCGACGAACGAGAATTGAGACCACCAAATAGGTCCCAACTGGCGTTAGGCCAATACCCCTATAGTTAGCACAGTCAGCGCGGCTGTCCTTCTTGTATTTGGCCACCACAATCGATTCACTGCAGTCAGCTGGGACGGTTCCCTCCTTCCAGAGATGTTCGAACAGGGAGATTGATGCTTTGCAGAGGATCTCACCTCCACCCTTAAATAGTGCAGGTGGTAGGAACCTGGTCCAGCATCACGAAAACGACTGACTTCTGCGATGAAATTACGGACTTCAGTCACCGATGAAGCTTCTAAACTAACCATCCAAGGCTCAGCATGCATTAGCTGAATAGGAAGAGGTCCGAAAGCAGGGGTTCAAAGGCACTGACCTTGAAAGTGTTCCGCCCAACAAGCCATACGGCACTCCTTCCTGAGTATCAGTGCTTTTGTGCTGTTTCTGTTTGTCGCACTGACGCCTGGTTTCCTACGACCAGTATTGCGGATCAGATGGAAGAGCTAGCGATTATTCCTTACTGCACTTGCCTCCTCTATTTCTTCAACCCGACCGGTCCATCACGTTCCCTTACCAGCACGCAAGCTCCGTTCTAGTTCGCGCCTAATAGTCCATCAGGTCACATTGTGCTCAAAGCCAGCAAGGAGGTTCCTTCCGGATTCCAACAGGTTCACCGACCTCTCGGATATCCAGTGACTGGTGCGGTAACGATTGATAGTGCCACAAACACATGCTCCTGCATCTTGCATGGAGGCCGAAATTCAATTCCACTGAAGCTCAGTGTCTTTAGGACAACGGAGCTAAAGTTCGGTATGCACTGCATGCTGGTAGTCTTGCCTGATCGACGGTTGAGTTAATTTCTGAGTTGCCAATAAGGGAAGACGCTTGGCGCGTCTCCTAGAAAAGTTCATGGAAAAACGACAGTGTACCAAGGCGTGATCAAAGTCGATGTAAGTGTTCCAGCACGATCGGCAATCCAGGATGGAATCACGTCACTTGCAACTAATGGCAATGTGATCTATTTAGGTCCGTCGCTGGCCAGCTATGGGAGAAAGCCAAGTGGTACTACGGTGCCTACTGTGTCTAAATGCAGTGCCCCGCACATAGCTGAAACAGATGCTCGTCGTTGTCAGTCCGTTCAGAGTTTAGCCCATAAGTAACACCTAGCAGACATTCCGAAAAGCTTAGACGCTCTACTTGTGCATTCATGTCTCATGCAAGTACAATGATATCTGAACTGGTAGCATTGGGTAGTGGCGTGTTCAGTTCGTGATAGAACGTGTCCTTGGCAGCATCAGAATTGTAGTCGGTGGGAGCATAAACGGAAATCACAAACAAACAGCGTTTTGCACTACTTCGTGAACCAACCTTAGTTGCTGTCGTCAAACGGAGCGCACGAAAACAGTTGTCTACTGGAATCTAACCAACTATCGATGACTCAGCTTTGGAGCTGAGAACAATGCCCACTCCAGGTTGAGCAGTGAGTGCTGCATCCGCGTCTTCGGATGCGTGCAACTAACAACGAGAGGGCAAGCTGAGCACAGCTAATTCAATAATCCCATTAGGGACATTGATCCTAGTTTTCGACGCAACGCACGTCAATACCCAATGTGTCTAACGCGCGTGCAAGTGCAGCTTGTTGACGTATTTGTCTTAGGGTGCAAACGTGACCTTATAAGAGGCTGTTGCCGATAGACGTCCAGTGGGTGACGAGAGAAGGTGGCTGCAGATGTTGTAACTCCAGTGGCACTGCGGCTGCTGTTAATTAAGCTGGGAATTATAAAAAGAAGGTTAGTAATGGAGGTCGGGATAAGAGTAAGAGAAACAGGTGGAAAAGAAAGAAGGGAGGCGTCAGCAGTAGCATGTATTCGCTTATCCGCCCTGCTGTACGCAGCAGATAAGGCGGCCCTTGATAATCTGCGCGACAGCCGATGCAGGTTGTAATTGAAGTTTGAAGAAATACTCATGACTGTACGTGGGGTGAGATACTGAAGGGCACCCAGACCTAGACAGGAGGAGGATTAGGGTTCTCATCCAAAGCCTTTGGCTCAAAAGCCTGTCCGCAAGGCAGCGGAGAGGTGGTAATGATTTAGTTTTACAGAGATGGATGCCATCCCCATTTCAAACTCCCAAGCTGGAGGACGAGGAGAGTGTGATCGTCTGACCTCCAACCATTGACCAATCTGGTAGGAGTAGCTATCAAGGTGCCCGGGGGCCCCACCCAGTATAGCTCATTGGGTCGAAGAGGTACGCAAATCGTCGGACCACGTTAAGGTCCAGTCTCGTTGCGACGGCTTTGTAACAAATAGGTTCGAATACTTCAGAGTGAGGTACTAAGATGACAAAAACAAGTGGAAGAAGTGCCAATGACCGTTAACTGCCAAAATGATCTTTCGGAGAGTGAAAAATTAGCAGACCGGTAGGTGATCAGTGACCATGAGTAAAATAAACATTGTGGGATAGATGGTAAGGTCGTGGTTGCGTATTATCAAGACAAAAACGTGTAGGTGCCGAGAGAGACGGAAAGTGGGCGAGAACAGAAGCAACAAGGAAACTGGAGTAGTTAGATTCTGTTTTAACTTACACGTAAAGCAAAGCACCGCGCAATATCATGAAGGGAATAGTCATCCACTTAAGAAATAGTCAGCGACAAGCTCACCACCAACCACAATTGTTGTGATGTACCAAACTGACGCGGTAGTGGCAGATGTAAGTGCTGATTTTTAAAAGACTGATAATGTGATGACAAAGCTTGGGTAGGTAAATGACAACTAAGTGACATTGTCTTAGACACCTAACAATGAGTCCCCATAGTCGGTTGGGTACTCTATGCTGACCTCACATTCCTTCACGTCAACTGCTCCGCTACAGCGTACAGCATACCACATTCCTCTCCTGAAAGTAATGGAACAAACGAGTAAAAAGGCTATTGACGTAGAAAGCATGCAACAGTCAAGACCAAGCGCGCGTGGTCCATCAGGTCATTCGTGAAGGATCATACATGATTAGCGTGATACACCAACGACCCAAGACAACTGCATGATCTGACGGTGTCGGAAGCGGAGGAGTACAGTGGAAATGAACAGTGTGAAAAACTAACCCGTCCAGAGTTCAGCATACGTTGCACGTATTCCTTGATCTGATCGTCAGTGGGAGTATCGCCGATCTCTTTGCGCATAGTAGTAATCCACATGAGGACTTCTTGGTTGGCTAACCCATGCAATGGTCCAGCCAAACCACACATGCTAGCAGCAAAGCATAAGTAAGGGTCTGACAAGGCACTGCCAACCAAATGGCACGTATGGGCACTGACGTTTCCACCCTGAAAGAGATTGCAGGAGAAACGCATCCGAGTGAGAGATGCGAGGTGAGGGATAAAGACGACTGGAACAAACACAGCAAGCAACAATTATGATTTAAAAGACACCCAGGTCCTAAATATGAAGAAAGTGTTTATGCTAGATTTAGTAAAATACTGATCTCAATTAGGTACAAGTTGACCACTTAGACAAAGAAATATTTTGAAGTTTACCAAAAAATGAGAACACAATGCTGCAGAAAAGCGAGAAAAGGTCGGAGAATTTAGATAAATACAGGTATTTGGAGTTCGAATGATCAGATGTTGCATTCTGCTGAATCCCTATGAACACTAATCGCAGTACCAGCTGGAAGTAAACTAACGCCAGGTTCCATTTCAGAGGATCATCATGACCCTCATTAACAGCAGCACATGAATAGTCCTCATAGATGCCTCCGATTCCACACAGAAAAATAGCAGAGCTAATGGGGAATAAATCAACTGTTCATTCTCGGTAGTTCGAGGGATGCTTGAATAGGCAATCACTTACAAGACAACGGTCGTAAGCTGATTGAAAATGATACGTAGCTGTTTGAATATGTCATTTGAGAAATTTAAAGCAGTTAGTTCCCTTCAGAAATTTGAAATGTATGGTAAGAAGACGCAAGCTGGTAGATGCATGCATTTCGTATTGTCTCCTCAATATCATTAACAATAACCGGTATGCAACTAGATACTTAAATATGCGTGCGACTGAATAAGCATGAGGTGCAAAATGAATGACGGAAATGCCACCCCTATGTCCACAGCAGTCTTAAGTGGATAAACAATTGATTTGAACACACAGGGCCGGCTTCATCCGGCTCATCGCAATGGCTTCGGCGTAACGGAGGAAGCGGGGATTAGGGTGACGTAATACAAGTGTGAAGGCTGATCCAAGCTCTACCCGGTGACGCGTAGTCAGTAGTTGTTTACCTATTGAGGTAGCTGGAGTCTAGCGCGAGCACGGAACTTCAGTGGGACAGGGATGCTGGTCACTTTCACGCTGAACCCATCTTGGCACGTGTTCCTTTATGTGGGAACTCAAAGACAGAATGGTTCTGCCTATGTAGCTGTTTCCGCAGTCGTACACGAATTGGTATATGCTGTCAGTTGACCCCGATCGGTTGAGCTTCCTTCCTTGGAGGCACCGGCAAGTTACGGGTTCCATTGATGACCACAACCTGAGCAGCATAGTAACTTCACTGCGTAGCAGAGATTAAACGTCTCGTGGTTTTCGATACAGTCAAGTCACTGTTGAAACGGAACGCGATATAGATCTTTTTCTTGGTTGCCGTATGCAGCAAGACTTTTGGGTCTCGCTGTTGGCTGTGTTTCTCTATAAATCTACGGGGAGAACCATTCGCGATTAGTGTTGTAATTAACTCTAGCTCGTCAGCTAGACAATCAGCCGAGCAAAGTCGGCTAGCACGAATAACTAAAATTTTCACAAAGGTCCGCTTGTACCGCACTGATGTGAAGCTGGTGAAGTGCAAGTATTGGCCAGACCATGCTGGTTTTCTGTAAATAGACCTCTTAATGAGCCCGTCATCTCTGCGACCGATGAGGATGTCTAAGAATGGCAGACATTTCTCCAGTTACACTTCGCAGATGACCCGCAAGTTGGTATGTGCACAGGTGAGTTGCTGCACCAACTGGACAATCAGCTGCTCCGACGAACAAAAGACCAATATGTCATCCACATAACGCTTATAGTATGGTAAGTTGGCTATTTCTGCGGATATGCCTCCTTCTATCAACAGCCTGAAGAAATCGGCAAGTACAGGGCCTAGTGGGCTACCCATTGCCATACCATCGATTTGACGATATGGGGTGTTCTGAAAGTGGAAGCCAACATTTGCTGTATACAGAAGCAAGGATTCCTTTGAAAATTCGACTGGAATTGGTAAAGAATAACTAGATTGCTCAGCTAATTCACATATGCAATCAACAGAGCCCTGAGCGTTTGTGGTAGCAGCACTGTATCTGTTGACACATTAGGAGCTCGGTTCGTTTGTGGTTGACCGGCCGACAGCTTGTGACCGGTCTGCGTGCGTTTTTGTTGTCAGCAGCGGTTTGCACATTTGTCTGACCTGAGTTAGGAACAACCGAGTCCGGTTCGTACTGTATCTGTGCCCGTACTTTGTTTTAGGAAACGGTCCCTTAAACGTGACTTCAGGCTGGCCACCGTTTTCTGTTGGTCGCTGCCACGCTTGGAGACGGTCCCGGTTGATACCATCTCAGGATGTAAGCCACGGTTGACTTTCAAAATGTTTGGCCCGTCACCCTGATAGTTTAAGGAGGCCGCCTAGACGGGTTGACATCGAAAGTCCACCGATATTTTTGTAAGTTGTAGAGCCTCCATGTTATGTACCTCACACTCTTCGATATCGTGCTTTCCGATGTTCATTTAATAACGCGGATGGTTAAGTTCTGGACCCCCGTGGCACAGCACCACCTATCTCGTCGTGCGATCATGTCGTGACGCGACTGGGTCGGGATTTCCATTTGTGTCTTTCTTAGCCATGGTTTATCCTGGGAAAGATGCGGGCTGCGAGAGATGCGGAATTTCGTTAAGCTTGTTGGCCTGTCAGGCAGCACATCCCTCCAGGTCTGCGTGTGGTTCCAAATTGTTGCCTCGAAATAACCGAGGTTGTCCTAAATGCGGCGAGGAATGAATTTCGGGAAATGCGCGTAAGAACTAGTTGCAGGAACGTTAATTTGAGAGCACAAATCTCTGCCCAGTTTTGTTCGTTCCACTTGCCTCCCTTTTAAGCGACTCGCTCGTTGGCTCTGGTACAATTTGAACACATAATTGTCACAGCGTTTTGTTGTACACTAACTGCTTAACCTGAGAGTTGTTACGGTGGACAATTGTCTAGGTTGACCTATCATCTTGTCCCTTGTGCAGGAGAGCCTGCCTGCTACATGGCTGCATACGCGGAACGCCGTTTGTGTGCTGTTTGTGGGGTCAAATGTTGCTGTCCAACCCGTGACAGGGTTGAGCGTGCAGTTTGTGCATAGCTGTTTAAGGCCTTGAGACACTTCACAAAACTTGGAGGTCGTATCGACGGCCTGTCCTTCGCTGGCGTCCATCAACATATGGTGTGCTATTTTTACCGTACTGTTGTGGCTTTTTACTAATGGCTCTCGTCCTTTTGACAGGTCTGGGATCGGGCTACTTAATACACTAATCTGCGACTCAAGTTCAGTGGATTTTATTTACCAAGCTAGTAGTCAATTCCTTTAGTTCTGTGACCGTTAGGGCTAAACTTTCACATTTCGCCATAAGCAGCTTGAATGACCCTAGCCAACGGTTTTGGTTGAACATTCCGCAAGAGCTCCCCCGAGGCATTCTTGGAAGCGGCCCCTCTACAGTATCATCACGTAACTTCCCAAAACTTACGTCTACTACAGGGCCAAATTCGCTAAGCAAATCAATACCGATGATAGCCTTTTGTACGTCGGCAATTGTAAAACTGTATGGAAAGCTACGACGTAGTCCTAGACTGAACGTGAGAAGTGTTGCCATAAGTCGCGATCTTCGTTTGGTTAGCAGCCTGTATCGTCAATTCAGCCGGCTGTAATGAACGTTTTCCAAGGAACGAGGTATAACGCTTATCTCCGCGCCGGTGTCAACCAAAGTGTTTTGGTCGTGGAAACAAATACGTACAGAAGGCGACTGATAATTTGGCCAGCAGCAGCCATCGCCATTACTGGCTGGCTTCGACGTTTCCCGATTTGGAATTAACGAAAGCCTTTGGGTGAGTACACTCTGGGCGGCAGTTTCATGCGACATTACCAAAGCGGTTATGGAAGTAGCAGTAAGAGCGCGATACTCGTCTGCGGAGTTGCTGCGAGGCCTGCTTGTGGAAGATGATCTTTGGTACGGTATTCGACCGCGGCTAAGGTGAGAAATGCTGAGTTCCAACTTTGGGAGCCTCGCACTAATGGAATCTAGTGTAGCATTTCCTGAAGTGCATGTAGTGGATGCCTCAGCCACATGATTCACAGCATTTTTAAAGAAATTTAGTGTACTTTATCGGCCGCTTCTGCCTGCTTATTCAGTGGAAGGTCCTCAGCCAAAACAGCCAGTATCGCTGTCGTGTTTGCTGGAAGACATTTAATCCAGAGTTGGCGAAGAATGGAATCATCCATGGTTGATGAACCGACAAGTGATCTCATGTGTCGGAGGAGCTGAGACGGTGTACAGTCACCAAGCTTGACCCCAGAGAGTAGCTGGTGGAGGCGTGCCCCCTTGGATAAGGGAGTGCGTTTTAAGATAGCTGCTTTAAGCTTGTCATAAGTTGAGTCAGTCTGCATAGGGTCGAGGATATCGATGAATTCTGGTACCACGTGTGTAGTTAAATGGGCAGTAACATATGAAAACATCTTAGACTGCTAGGTAAGCTTACGGAAACGAAGGATAGATTCCACTTGAATAAACCAGACACGTTGGTTCAATGAATCGAAGGATAGCAAAGGAAATGTAACGGAATTCTCAGATAACTGTTCACAAGTAGGTTGATCAAACATAATGAGGAAAAAATAACGTGTTCCTAAAATATACGGGTCTCCAATTAATGTAGTGGATCGTTAGGTAATCAGTTCGAGTGCGGAGGCAAAAGATAATCTTTGACAAAAACTCAAAATAGAGGAACAATCTAGCACACTTGCGTTATACTTCTTCCTTCCGTCAATGTTATTCTCATGCCGACTAGAAACTCGAAGATATAAATCCGACTAGTGGGAAGACGTGGCAGCCGCACAAGCAGCGGCAGCAGCAAAGGAAACCAGTACGATGCGGGCGCGTAGAAATTGTTGTATTTAAAAGTTGTGAATGCAAACAAATTGTACCAAATGATCGGTAACGGAAATGATAAAAACAAAGATAAAACATATTGTAATCACAACCACTACAAGTATAATGCGTCTGAATCGCCATCACAATTTGCACACCCCGTACACATGCGGAGCACAAACAGTATCATGATTTTCATCTTCATCCACGG